GTTCCTCTTCTCTCGATCTTTTGCGCTCTCCTGCAGTAATGTACCGATCCCCATTCCCATCTTGCGTCTTCGTACAATTGCAATAGCATTCAAATGACTTTTCTGCTGAATGTGACGCTTGAGGTAGTCCAACTTCCATTCACTCCACACCTTTCCCTCTGAAAACTCACTTGCTACTTTGGCTTCGCAGCATGTTTTGCAGAGCAGCCCTTTCTCACTCGAAAAAGAAAATATCTCACCCAGTTTCACCTCTTGTTCTTCTGTTCGCACATACTCCGACAACCATTCCATCTTAAAAGAACCGCATTTCTTTTTTACTTTGGCTTGGTGAGTGGATGTGCCACTGCCCGTTCGTTTCGCCATAGTAAAGGGTTAGCTTAGCAGCATTTACCTCTCTTAATTAACTCCGCTGCACCGTTAGCTATATGCTAACCTGCAAAACGGGCACATGCCCATTAAGCGCCGTTAATGACATTGATTGGCTGCGTAAGTAAATACGTGCGAACCGCATCATATCATTGGCTGGACAGTGTTAGTCATTGTTTTACTGTAATTACCACTTGTTGTCACTTGTCACTCACTGAGTTGCATTGCAACATGGTACAGAATACATTGTTATGTGTTTATTTTATTTATAGTTCAGGTTGGATTTTATTTTATGCGCTGCATAGATTTGCTGTGCGCGGAGAACGCGGGAGGAGTGCGCGATTGCGCAAGCGCGCAGCTTAGAGGGAACATTGGCCAAGAAACTTCAAATTGATGAATGGGCCTTATAAACAAGATCCATTGTCTCATTACTGACAAATCTGCTAATATGGTTGCTTGCGCCAAGCTTCTCAGGCTACATAACATACCTTGTTTTGCCCATAGTTTAAATTTGGTGGTAAAAAAAAGGGCACTGGAGGCAAAACCAGAACTTGCAGATATCTGCACAAGAGCTAGAAAAGTAGATTTTTTAAAAGCCAGCACAAGGGACAAGGAGAAACTCACAGAAGTACAGGAACAACTGCGGAAACCTCCTCATAAACTGATTGATTAAAGGGTCAAAACCAGATTGAATTCAACTTTCTTCATGTTGCAGCGTCGACATGAGCAGCGTGAACCAGTGGGAGCAGCACTAGCATCTCTTACAACAAATGTGGTGCCACTAAGCTGCGTGGACTATGAGGCCGTGGCTGAGTGCCTTGAGGTTCTGTGACAGCTGTAGTTACAACAGAGCTTTCAGAAGAGAACACGGTGTCTGGTTATTATATAACCAGACAATATATATATAT